AATAAATCGCGGTTTGTTTTATCTAATATAACTGAACTGCAGTCAGCTTAATAATTAACAAAAACATAATAATATAATAGTTTGCAAAGAATTTTTCAGCAATTTTATTCAAGGTTTGATTTACTAAATTTTTATATTTTTCTGAAAAGTTATAAGATACGAAATACAAATCCTTTATTACAAATTTACAAATGTATAATCTAAAAACAATGTCATTGTGGGAATGGCCTAAATCCAGTAATGTTCGAGATTATTAACACAGTGGATTTCAAAAATGTAGCTCCTCCGAAATGCTTCAGTCAAAAACGATTAAGGAATACCTTTCCTTGTTTCCATTTATCTTTTTCAAAAGAATTTCGTGCAATTCGTTAACACCCTCTATTAAGCACACAGCTACGCAGACCATGAAAAACATCTGAATTTTGATATCCTTTAAAAAACGATAAAGCAGTAGTAAAATATCATCGCACTGTAACAGAGCAGGATCGAATTACACACTAGCTATTCTGCTGCTCCAAGCCTCCTTTTCGGGATACAAGTTGCAAAACACATAATTCAAAATTATTTTAAGCATACGCTATACGCCCCTCAGTATTTGCTAGTCACTGTGGTTAACAATTCAAGAGGCATTTTATGTAAACACTATGCTCTAAAGTATGATAAAGCCAGCCTAAATCATCAAAATGCTATATTAACCCAGATAATAAACTGAGAAACGGTATTTCATTAAGGTCTTTTCATACTGCAGCGATTAACGAATATTACAAACTTTCTGATGATTTTACAGAGCATAAACTACAGTAAACTATACATAAACTATAACAGGCAACCGAATGAGCATTAAAAAAATAATTAAATAAACTGAAAAGCACTAAATAACGCTAAGTTACTAGGCATTAAACACAGGAGGTACGTACCGTCGACGAGGCGCACGAGCACCTTCGCGATCGTCCATCGGCCGTCCGTACCGGGCCATCACAACGCGAATCTCGCGTCCGTCTACCCGCCGACCATCCATCTGATCCATTGCGTCTTCCGCATCTCGTCGCGAATAGTAACGGATGAAAGCGAATCCTTTACTGTCGCCCGTCCAAGGATCGCGCGGTATGTGAATGTCCCCGATCTCGCCGAACTTTTCGAACGCTTTCCTCAGTTCTGAAGGTCCAGTACGAGATGACACGTTATCAATCTAAAACAAAGATTTGGAGGGTCATTTTTCGTCATTGAAAAAATATGCAGTAACATAGGAACGAAAATAAAGCAGAACAAAGTGATAACACTGAAAACTAAATTCTCTACGAAATGCAAGTCATGTTCAATACCTTGCTAAAATGCTAATCGCCAAATGCCGTGTGGTCGCAAAATTATCCGCATGCATGTTCGTTTCCCATCGTTCGTGTCCCATCCTTTTACTTTCGTTCAAACAATTAGAAATAACAGCTTCATAAAAGTCGAGAACGTTTGAGAAACTGGCAGATGCTTGCGCTTACTCCACCAGAAGAAATGATAGGTCCTCGATACTGACTGATTAATAGCCTGATTAACAGAAACTACGTCATGAAACTCGACTAAGAGTCATCATACTACTTGTTTTTCGCAAGTGAATTCTAGAAGTGCTACTACTGAAAAATGAAGCGGTACAATCCAACAATTATAGTCGCAAAACATTTTATACAATA